GAAATAACAGAAGTAAAGCAAACTGGTGAAGAAATGGACTTAATAGACCTCCCAGAATGTTCCACTCAGCAACATCAGAATACATTCTTCTCAGCTGTACATGGGACACTCTCCAAATTAGACCACATACTAGTACATACAGCATATTTAAGGAAATACAAAGTATCCCAAATTATCCAATGCATATTATCTGACCATAGTGCACTGAAACTGGAAATTATTGACCAAAGAAATTTCAAACATTCCTTAACACATGGAAATTAAAGAAGACCCTCCTGAGCAATCCATGAGTCACAGGTGAAATTAAACAAGAAATTGAACAATATTTATAGTCAAATGAAAATGCAGATAGAACTGTTATGGTTTGCGTTTAGATGTCCCCCCTAAAGCCTCACAGCCATGGGCTGAGCTTCTGGAGTTTGTGCTTGGTTCATGGTCCAACACTGAGATTATGGGTGTGAGTGCTCAACCACTCTGGGACAGGCAGCCTGCATGCAACCTAAGGAAGGGAGAGAAGCTTGCTCTCTGCCCCTGCTCCCCTTTTGCTCTTTCTGTTTTGCTGTTTTCTGCCACAATGAGCTGCAGCTCCCTGCTGTTTGCCACTCTGCCTTGGGGCCAGCAAGTATGGACTGAAACCTCAACAAACGGTGAGCTAAATAAGCCTTTCCTTCCTTCATTTTGGGTATCACTATTTTGTGCTAGCAAAGAGAGAAAAGTAACATAGTCAACTTACTGGAATCTGTGGGAATGCAATGAAAGCCGTCTTAAGAGACAAATCTATAGTGGTAAATATTCATACCAGGAAAACAGAATGAGCCCAAATAAACAATCTTATCCTGCATCTAGAAAAAGAAGAGAAAAAAAAGGAAAAGAAGAGCAAGTCAAGCCCAAAGCCCAAAGAAGGCAGGAAATTATAAAGATCAGAGCAGAAGAAAATGCAATGGAAATGAAGAAGACAATACAATGAATTAATGAGTCAAAGAGTTGATTCTTTGAAAGAATAAATAAAACTGATAAAACCCTAGTCTACCTGAGCAAAAAAAGGAAAGAAAATCCAACTTACACCATAAGGAATAAAAAGCACAAAATCTCTACAAACCCTATAGAAATTCAGAAGATCATCAATATCTACTTCAAAAATGTTCACTGTCACAAAAAGGAAAACACAGAAGAAATGGACAGAACCTTAGATACAGATAATTACCAAAACCGAATCAAGAAGATATAAAAAATTCTGAATAATCCAACATCAGTCAATGAAATTGAAAATGTAATAAAAAAAATTCACAGCTGAATTCTATAAGAAATTCAGAGAAGATTTAGTGCCAATTATTCTCAAACTCTACATGAAATCAAACAGGAATTAATTCTCCAAACTCATTCCTGGAGGCGAGTATTACCCTGATACCTAAACCAGAAAAAGATAGATCATAAATAATAAGTATGTCTAATTTAATTCCAGTATATGTGTCACATA